AAAAATAAAAAAAACAATATTTTCTCAACATAAAAGTTTATAGAATATTGCAATAGATTGCAATATTACAAAACCTGCCAATAATTCTGAAATGTGATCATCATCATTGTAGAAGGCCATATCGCAACATATCGCAACATTTCAAAGGTATCCATGAGATTTTTCCGCGTGTATTTCAAGGGATCAAGGAAAAAATCGCATGCGAAAAAACCCTGAGATTTCACTCTCCGAACCTGAGAATCGGCCTGAGGTGCCAGGCAAAAACCCCTGCTGCTGAAGAAAGAAAACCACCAGCAGCGTCCATCCAAAGCACCCTTTGGCCGCGAAATGGGATGAAACCCTGGGATGCTTCCAGCCCTGTGGGGCTATGTTTTTGTGGCGAAAATTGGGAGAATGGTGTCCGCCATGAATTTCATCCTCGCAAGATTACTCCAAATTTCAGTGATTGATAAACATGTATTTGATATATATATATATACGTGTGTATATATATGTATATACATACATTACATTACATTACATTACATTACATTACATTTACATTACATTACATTACATACATACATTACATACATTAATACATACATACATACATACATACATTACATTACATTACATTACATTACATTTCATTACATTACATTACATTACATTACGTTACATACATACATACATACATTACATACATACATACATATATATATATGAATATATATATATGTACATATCAATATGACAATCAATTTCTATGCGGATTCCCTATTTTCAGACACCCTTGGAGGCAAACTCACACCTACAGCCTTGGCCGACTAAAATTCTTCAAGCCTTGGTCAATTGACTTTGTAAGTGACCACCGCAACATGGGATGCCAATTTGCGCAATTACATCTATGAATCCATGTGTATATCAATATATGTCTATATAGTAACCTCCAAACAAATGGAAACCGTTCAATAAATATCGGAATGTTGGTAGCAATTGAACCGTTTCTATCCGTTTGAGATTGCTACATGTACACATATATATATATGTATGTATGTATATATATATATGTATGTATATATATATATAGGTATATATATATATGTATGTATATATATATGTATATATATATGCGTACCTATAAAAATCACACAACCCGACTAAGCCTCGGTGAGTTAAAGCCCCGGTATCCTGTAGTTCACATCTCAAAAAAAAAACAAAATAGCCTTTGGGTTGGACATGTGAACCTAGAAAAAACCATGTTCACCAGGAAAATCTTTGTCTAAACAACTCCATCGCATTCCAAAAGTCTGAAGCCATTCTTGGAAGAGTTCAATTTTTAGTTTTGATATACATCGCACAAGATCCATGAAATCCCAACAAAAGATCCCAACAAAAATAATTTACCCTCCAGTAATTTAACATAGCTATTGAAAATGGCCACAAAAATAGTGTATTTACCCATTGAAAATTGCCATTTTCTACAGCTATGTTAGTTTACCAGAGGGTAAAGAAAAAGCAATGAAACCAGCGTCAAATCTTTGAAGACATCAAATCCCATCAACTTTTTGCCAAAATCCCCTCTGGTTATTCATAGCTATGGATCTTGTTCATGGTCCATAGATGATAAACATTGCGATTTACCTCAAAAAAAATAGTGATGTATGATGATTTGGGTATGGATCAATACCTATTAATACCATTTTTAGGGGAATGAACATCCATAAATCCCAGCTATTTTGATGTTCACCAGGGGTACAAGGTTTTGACACACTGCGGCTGGCTGGCCATCGACTTTTTTGGATCCCAAAAGGCGCCTTCCCCTGGCTGATGGAGGCGGCAGCGAAACGCCCAACGCCTGTCATAGCTGGATGGTTTTCATGGAAAATCTCAAAGAAACAATGGATGAAATGGATGAAGCCTTGGGGGTGGTAACTGGTACCCCAGGACTTACCCTCTGGTAAACTAACATAACTATGGAAATTCACCATTTTTAATGGGAAAACTCACTATAAATGGCCATTTTCAATAGCAGCTACGTTAAATTACCAGAGGGTAGGAAATCTCCATAGAAATCTCCTGAAATCAATGGGAAAAACCCCCCAGTAAAACAACAGTTTTTGACGTCAGATAGGGATTGGAAGATGAGTTTCCGCCACAAATGGTTTATTTTAAGGGTCTATGTGAATTTGCCAGAGGGTACTGTAAATAAATGAGCAAAGGCCGTTGTTGTTGTAGCAGTAGGGTACTAGTACTAGTACTAGTACTAGTACTAGTACTACTACTACTACTACTACTACTACTACTACTAGTACTAGTAGTAGTAGTACTAGTAGTAGTAGTAGTAGTAATAGCAGTAGTAGTAGTAGGAGGACTAGTGCACCAGTTGGCAACTATGTGGAAGTGTGAAACCTAATAATGAGATAGAATGAGATAAAACATGCACTGCACCAACTGGTGCAGGATTTCTTCCATGCACAGTATTAATCACGATTGTATTCTAGCAACCCCCAAATAGATGCCGAAAAGTCAGAAATCTGGACATCTTTTCAGTACATGTAATCCACAACATCCAGAAAAAACAATGATTCTATCTTTGGGGGGTGCCATATTATATTCCTATAATTATCATGATCATACCGCACAATTATCAAAGTAGTACAGTAATAATTCCTTAATGATAGTATATCACTCATTGCTATCATTGTCATTATAATTGTGATGGTATTACTATTATCAAAATTACAATTATAACATACTACAGTACAATATATCATAACATAATAAAAGAAAAGATCATAATCACTAATGAATATTAATAATAATTATCAGAGATGCTATAATTATCACATCCCCCTAATATTAACCCCCACAGAAACCATGGTTTAGTAGGGAGTTTACACATATCTAGGACCATGTAGGGGGTGTTTGATATTAAGGGGGGTTGATTATTATGAGTATGATTATGATAATGGGAAGGTATATAAGTTATAAGTAATACCAACAACTTATATGTTTATATAATATAGTTTCATTAATTGATTATCATATTAAAAATCTAGATTAAACATATGTAAAAAAAAAATAGTATGCTATTATATTGTTGTATTAGTAAGAGTCAACATTACTGACCCATCCCACTGCACCATTCCTCCGAAAGCATTTTACAAGAAGTGTCCACTGATCACTGGTTGGTGCAATAACCATCTTGAAAAATGATGGAGTTCGCCAATGGGAAGGATTATCCCATATATGAAATGGAAAATAAAAACATGTTTTTAACCACCAGATCATAAATCAACTTTCCCAACTCCGAGTCAAAACCCGGATGGACCCGGATGGTATCCTAAGTCATAGCTCGTCAGCAGCTGGATGTGCTTATTAAACCCCCGGTCATAGGGTAATTTCATAGGTAGCTTGACCCATCCCCAACTCAGTCTTCAGAAATCCAGTCGACCAGTCAGGCGACCTTTCCTCAAAAACTTCCAAAAAAAAAGTTTTTCGTTGTGTCTTGGGGCTCCCAGCTTCAAAGTCTTCACCATCGCTACAGCCTCTGGGTGCAGAGGCAACAAATACCTCTGGCGCGGTTCGATGAGTTTCGGAAAAAACTGCCGTGTTTTCTTCGGGGATTTCCCATTGCCATGTGAAAATGACCGGAGGGTAGGTTATATCTCTTTTTGTGGATGTTAGTGGGATAAGTAGATCCAATCCACTTACAACTGGGGTGAAGAAACTTACTTGTGATTTGTTGGATAAACCACCAAGTAACCAACGAAAAATTGGGAGATTATGGGGATATTTCATGGGATAGAATGGAATATCACATAACCACCTATTGAAGGGTTGAATGGCTGTTAAAAAAAGAACAAACTTTATTAATCGATTCTATGGGCGTATACTGGGATGTATATACATTACATATGTATAATTATATAACCATATATAGCCAACAATATATAACACTATGATGTTTGTGGGGTGTCCAAATGTCGGGATTTCCACAGCAGTTTTAGTTCTCGGCCATCTATTTCGGCGGTACCCGTTTTTCTTAATCCAAACAGCAAGGAGATTCTCGTAGGTGTGGTATATCCCAGTGATAACCCATTTACTAGCCATCTAACCGCTTACAAACCACTTATTAATCACTTTCGGGAACTGTGATTAGCGACTCACCAAGAAAATGATCAAACATGATCAAACCTGATCAAGCACCGAAAAGAGAGAAACGACATGTACCAAGATCCACCCAATGGGGATCCCAACAAGACTTAAATGGTGACCGGGTGACCAGCAAAAAGTTGAGTTTCTGTGGGATGTTGAAGGGACATTCTACATTACCCTCTGGTAAACTAACATAGCTATGGAAAATCACCATTTTTAATGGGTAAATCAACTAAAAATGGCCATTTTCAATAGCTTTTTGTATGTTTACCAGGCCGGGTAATCCTTGTGGAGCTGTCCCTTTAATGGCTCCCTTTCTTCACCATGACACCCCAACTTGGTCCAATGACTTGAGAAAAATGGGGGGGTACCAAACCTCGGAAACCCCCGAGGTTGTGTTTATAGTGTTTATATACCCTCTGGTAATGACTGTTATATAGTTATTGAACATGGCCCAGTCGAAATAGATAGAAATAGTGGATTTACCCAGCTAGAACATGGTGGATCTTTCCATCGTTTTTTCGCATGTTTACCAGGCCGGGTAACTGATGTGACGTTTATTCCTGCAATCAGCCGGGATCGGTCACAAAAAATTGTCCAAACACGTTGAAACCACCAGTAACCACCAGAAATACTATAAGAATTGTCATATGATATCCCATTAAATGCTATCAAAACCAATAAAACCATATAAAGCCCATTAAATCCCATTCAACTCTCTAAAAATCTTAGAAAATCCACATTGCAGGCCCCCCTTCTTCTGACATTTCACCTTATCTTTGGCCTCTGCCCGGTGTGGACTCTATGTTTGATACCCGCCGTTGACGACTCAAGGTTTGCCCAGTGAATGGGATGAGCGGTGACATATTTTCCGACTGAAATCCAATAAAAAGGTGTTTGTTACTGAAGATTTCCCTATCACCCAAAACTGGTTGGTGGTTGAGCCCTGCACCTCTGAAAAATGATGGACTTCGTCAGTTGGGATGATGACATTCCATACATTATGGAAACATATGGAAAAATAAAATTCATGTTCCAAACCACCAACCAGAATATCCAACAAAAACATTAAAAAACAGTCACATGACCTGCCACAGGTGCGCTTCGTATGACCCGGTCTCACAAAATCGCACAACGCATTGATACGAGGCCGTCAGTTCTGCACGAAACTGTTCGTTTTTGAAGGAAGTCTCGCAGTGATTTGCTTCGTTTTTGAAGTTGTCAAGTTCAAACATGGAGGAATTCTCGCAGAATTTCTTCGTTTCGGACATGTCAACTTCCACTTCTGATGGAAGTCTAGGTAGGTAGATAGATGGATAGATAGAATAGACAAACAGAAAGAGATCGACAGATAGACAGATTGATAGATTCGATAGTCAGCTAGTCAGATAGACAGATAGTCAGATAGATAGATAGATAGATAGCTAGCTAGATAGATAGCTAGATAGATAGCTAGCTAGATAGATAGATAGACAGATAGATAGATAGATAGGAAGACAGAAAGATAGGAAGATAGGAATATAGAAAGATAGATACATAGATAGGTTGTCCAGTCAGGTAGATAGACAGATAGACAGGTAGATAGATAGATAGATAGATAGCCAGATAGATAATAGATAGATACATAGATAGATACATAGACAGTTTGATAGAAAGCTTGATAGACAGAAAGACAGAGAGAGAGAGAGATAGATAGATACTTAGTTAGTTAGTTCGTTAGTTAGTTGGTTGGTTAGTTGGTTTGTTATTTAGTTTGTTAGTTAGTTCGTTAGTTCGTTCGTTAGTTAGTTAGTTAGAGTTACTTAGAGTTAGTTAGAGTTAGTTACAGTTAGTTAGAGTTAGTTAGAGTTAGTTAGAGTTAGTTACAGTTTGTTCCAGTTTGTTCGAGTTACGTAGAGTTAGTTAGAGTTAGTTAGAGTTAGATCGAGTTAGTTAGAGTTGGTTATAGTTAGTTACAGTTTGTTATAGTTTGTTATAGTTAGTTATAGTTAGTTAAAGTTAGTTAGTTAGTTTGTTTGTTTGTTTGTTAGTTTGTTAGTTAGTTAGATAGATAGATAGATAGATCAATAGATCAATAGATCAATAGATCAATGTCAATAGATCAATAGATCAATAGATCAATTGATCAATTGACAAATAATGGAAAGAGATAGACAGATAGATAGACAGATAGACAGATAGATAGACAGATAGATAGTTAGATAGACAGATAGATAGATAGACAGATGGTCAGATAGATAGACAGATAGATGGATAGGTAGCTAGATAGATAAATGGAGAAATAGATAGGTTGGGGGAGAGAGAGAGTGAGACACACACACAGAGAGAAGGAGAGACAGAGAGACAAAGAGAGAGAGAGAGAGAGACAGAGAGAAAGAAAGAAAGAAAGAAAGAAAGACTCAGAGCCTCAACCACCTTTCGGTCCATTAGTTCGCTCTGCAATCACAACTCACCTCCCCGGTTTCCCTAAGGTCTCCCCTAAGGTCACTGAAGAGTCAGATCAATCTCCCCAGAGAGCAGATCGCCCTGAAACAGCAGCAGCTCCTCGTCGTTCATAGGGATTAAAAATGGGTAATTCATAGGGGTTACCCTCTGGTAATTTAACATAGCTATTGAAAATCACCATTTTTCATGGGAAAATCCACTATAAATGGCCATTTTCAATAGCTATGTTAAATTACCAGAGGGTTAAACAAAAACTGGGATGTAATATACCCTCTGGTAGTGACTGTTACATAGCTATTGAACATGTCCATATTGGTCAATGGGAAGGATTATCCCATATATTATTGAAAAATAAAAAAATGTTCCAAACCACCAACCAGTCAATTGTGAATAAAAAGTTCGGAAATTCTGGCAATTCCTAAATGGAGTTTCTTCTTAATCAGAATGTGAAGAGCCACATTACATTAACAATGATAAACCATGATAAACCCATATGTTAAAAAAAAAACTGTATGCACCTAATTGAACATTCAAACAGAACATAATGAATGTATGTGAAAAACTAAATGCATGGATGCGATCTACCCAAACAGCATCCGAAGTGTTCTCGTTGCCACTCGGCTTCATTACGCCTCCTTAAATCAGGAGAAACAAATTGAGAACAAAAACATCTTTAGCAACATTGTCAATCTTTGGTATTCCAGGACAAATTAATCTTTTGCTGGTTATGATTATTGTCCATTTCAAGCAAACAACTCAAGGATTAGTTTCTACCTATCCAGTCGGTTGGGGAGGGGATATGTATACAACTTACACAACTGGATCGTTTCAGATCAGGAAAATTCCGTCTCAACGTGTCTACCGTCACTTAACCTACCATATCTGTCGCAATCACCAAGTCGGTCACTTGACTAGGATGAGTTGACCTTGATCTATCACCAGGATGGTTGGTTTATATGTTTGCCAAGAATAACCAGCGTACCCTCCGAGAATGAGTCATGTGGCTTGCTGGAAAATCCACCACTTACTTCGATGATAAATTGAAACCTCCATTTTTCGTTCGGGGATTTCCTAGCCCACATTTGAGTACTAGATGGTAGATATCAGTCTAATGTGGAAATGTGTGTGGAAATGTGGTACTAATAACTACTAATATCTAGTTTTGGGATATTTTGGGTATATCTCCAACCATATAAGTACCTAGCCTCCATTTATCCATGTCGATGGAACTGGCTCGCTGATTAAAAACTACAGGCGTTTAGCTCGATGTACCAAGGTCTATGTAGGATGGTAGAGACGCTTTGTCCTGTAAGAATCTGTAAGACAAAGCTATCTCAAACGAAAAGTCACATGGCAAGCTGGAAAGAAAAACACATTTTGAAATTGACTTTGATGATTTTCTTTTTTCCCAGCAACCTCCACTGTGGATGTCCCATGATTTTCCCATACTTCGTGATATTTTCCGAGTTTTTTTCGCTTCATTTTTCATGGGTTTTCCCAAGGAAATCGACTGAGATCTGTTTCGCCTACTACTTCCACCGGTGAGATCTGTTGAGATTGTGGGCCAGGTCCATCACAGTATGCTTTCGCACGGGATACTATGGGATTTAAACAGCACGGGAACTGTATCGAAGTTGAAGTGATATTATGGGATACCATCAAAGATTAGATTTAGATTATTACTGCTTGGTGGTTGACCTACCCCTCTGAAAAATATGAAAGTCAGTTGGGATTATTATTCCCAATATATGGAAAAATATGGAAAAATACAAAATGTTCCAAACCACCAACCAGTTTAGATTAGACGGTCATATGATTGATATGTATATGACTTGGCAACATCTAAGATGGGATATGGCCTGGAAAATGTTGTCATGGGTCCTGGCGACTGCTTGGGCGCCCGAAGTTCGTGGCCAGGATCCTGTCAACCCATAAAAATGGGAATGGATTATATATATATATATGTATACCACCCATAAATTTATGGTGATGACTGGGGGATGGTTTATGAAATTGTGTTAAAATGTTTGAAGCACATTACATGCATCATATGTGATGTGAAAATTCAGATCCTGAGAAATCATTTCATCAGTAAATACATGATATATGAATGATATAAGTTTGGTAGGAATTTATGGATGGCCTGTGATGAGATGTTTATTGTTTTTTGTTGATGACATGGAAGTTCCATGTATAGAAATCATGTCCTTGTTCAATTCTGGCAAGAAACATTCTACAAACCCGATGTTTGGAGTTCCATCTTAGTTTTCAGGATATGACTATAATTAATGTAAGCCAAATAACATCAGGGATGTCATCCGTGAGTTTGAGAAACGCCATTTGTCCCAGAAATGGATCCAGCCCACCTTTGAGGCTTCAGCAATTCTTGTTGAAATCCCTTTCTGGCAGTGAAAAAAATGGTGACTTTTGTATTTTTGTTGCTTAGTATATGTTAGTATTGTGTTGGTCTCCCGTCATTTGTGGTTCTTTCATGTTCTTTCTATATTCTTGCTGGCTACAGTATGTTCGCATTGATTTTCTTTGTCGTTGTTTCATCCCCAGACTGTTCCCTTGAGCTAAGGCAGCTAAGGTAAAGTAGACAAAACAAAAGCGACTCGGTGTCTTGCTTTGCATGCCAATTCAGTTGTAAAAGTGAAAAGATTTCACACAATTGGCCAAAGAACTACCAAAATTGCCTCCAATTTGGGACCAAGCAACTCCTAAACATTGCCAATCTTGCCTATCCATGGATATAAAGTAGATGTTTAGCCAATTAGGGCAACATATCCCAACTTGTAGCAAAACAAATAAAGGATTGAGCAAACCCAAGTGCCCCTGCTGGGTTATGATAAATACATGAAATACCCATAAAACCACCTAGTTCGTCCAACGTTTTCCAGATACTTCTAGATTATCTCTCCATTTTGTGCAATTAAAATATGTTAAATCCCTAAGTATTTCCAGGTTCACACCAGAATTGTCTGTTCAACACCATCCCAATCAAAGATCTCCCGCCACAACGGCCTCTGGCCGGGCCCCTGTCGCTGCTCCAGAAGCTGGAATCGCTCGGGAAAGCGGCGCAGCAGCAGATCGCAGAGTGAGTCCACCTCACGGTAGCGAAAATCATGGGACTTTCATGGGACTTTCAGGTGCTTAGCATATGATAGTATGATATGTAGGGATGTATAAGATCTACAAGGGATGTATATCATGATATATATCATATTATGGTATATATCATATGATATGTAGGGATGTATAATAGTATGTATGATATAATCTTATAAGATCTTATAATCATCCTGACGTTTTTTTTATATCTTATGATAAAATTTTCACCAACACACATCATGATGTGGGAAAAGTTAGCCTCTAAACTCACCGTTTGCTGTGGAAAATGGGCAAAAACGACCATGTGAAAAACCATCCTCCGAACGGGGTTGCATCCTCCAACTGCGTTTTGTTGGAGTAAAGAAACCATAGAAATCATAGAAGTATGGTTTATCCACTTGATAAATCGATATAAATGGCTTGTAGCATCGGCTACATCCAGGTCATTAGGGAAACCGCCATGGTGGATTGTCCATTGCCAGCTTTGATGTCCGGATATCATAACTGGTTGGTGGTTGAGCCCTACCCCTCTGAAAAATATGAAAGTCAATGGGAAGGATTATCCCATATATTATGGAAAAATAAAATTCATGTTCCAAACCACCAACCAGTACAAGGGTTAATGGTGCTGATTAAACCCCCAAGCAGCCTTAGCTTAACCCGTTTTCATGCATTTTCCCCTTAGCTTAACCCGTCACTTAAGCTGAGCCCTGAAACACCAAGTTCATGTCCGCTTTAGAATGGTAAAGTGCAACATGGATGTGGAAAATGGCTCATAGAAAGCAGTTGATCGTTTAGAGCGAAAACCATATTGTGTGTCCCCGATGTAATTTTCTAGGATAGACGCGAGACGAACTTGAATAACTCCAGCGAAAACCTTATAGCAAGTATTGAGCAGGGAGATTGGACGATAGTTTTCAGGATTGTCGTGCGCTCCTTTTTTGTGTAAGCAACAGACATGCGCTTGCGTGAAACTGTCAGGGACTCTCTGCTCTGCCCAGAAAACATGTAAACACTTAGTAAAAATTTCAAGATTATCGTCATTTAACCATTTAAAGAATTCGGTTGTGGCTCCATCAGGGCCTGCAGCTTTGTTGGTTTTGAGTTTCGAAACAACTTGTCGGATTTCAATGCTGGAAATGGGGTCAACGTTGAAATGAAAGTTCTGCTTGAAAAGATTATCGCGTGAAGGGTCTGCTGGTGGCGCAGTGGTCATAGGTCCCCATTGTTTTTCAAACAAATACTCTGCCATGGCATCCGCCTTTTTTGAGATAGGCACACGGTTCCCTCGAATATCCTTTAGATCGTAAAATCTAGGAGTGAAAGTTTGTTTTCAAATCTGATCTGTTTCCAAGCATTTTTTTTGTCGGTGAGATCTGCAAGTTTGTCGGTTCTCCAAGTCATTTGATCTTTCCGGGCAAGTTTTTTAATTTCACGACTCAGCAGGTTCTCAGTGTGATAATCACTTCTCAACCTAGCCTCTTGTCTGCTTTGGATTAACTGCCAGGTGTGACCAGAAAGATATTCTCGATTTTGTCGTGAACTTTCCGCTTGAAAGTGCGATTGGGCTGCTTCTTTCATTACGGTCACAAAGGAGCTACAGTTAGCCAATTTATCTTCCACAGGAATGAAGATGAAAATCGATTGTATATGTTGGTTATAGTTGTCAACTTGCTGCTGTGTTGGGATGCAATATCGTTTTGATCTACAATTTCTCTTCTCCGTCTGTTTTGAGGCACTGAGTTTTATTCTAACATCAGCCGTGACGAAAACATGATCGCAGTCAAAGGCAATATTCGTATGCGCGTGCACGTCTGAAATCGTATTTCTCCATTGTTTGGAGGCGAGTATCAAATCCATCTGAGCAAACCTATCTGGGGTCCAAAGACCTACAAAGCCATTTGTTCTTGTGTCCTTGTATTTACATTCATCAGGTTTTATGAAAAGTGTATTGGATACGATGAAGTCATTGGCGGTGCAAAAATCAAAAAGAAACTGTCGGTTTTCTCTTTGCTCATCAGAAAGATAATCCACCAAAAAGTTTCCCCAACCAAACACATGACTACCAACTATCGTTTCTTCCATGCCGCTGACTCTTCCATGCAAGCGTGCGTTGGTGCCTCCCACCACGAAAGTAGGCATGTTGGCGGTTTGTGTTTACCTATATATAGACTATAGATATATTCCCATAGATTTGTTGGTTAAATTACCATTAAAGACACAATCAAATCTCCCAAGTGATCCTGGTGACCTGGTGGGTTTTGTTGAAGATGTTCGTCAAAATCCGGCCCTTATGATGGTTGATATCACCTTTTTTGTTAATACCCTCCAGTAAACATACAAAAAACTATTGAAGTGGCCATAGAAATAGTTGATTTATCCATGAAAGTAGTGATTTTCCTTAGTTGTTTGTAAACGTTTACCAGAGGGTATCCCTATTTTTGTTGCTTCACTTGAGTTGATAACACCCTTTTTGTGTTTTCCCTTAGTTGGCTTCTCGTTTTTGTCGCTTACTACTGGCATGTTTGGCATGTTTGCTTCATTCATGAAGTTTTTAGTGTATGGCAATGTTTGCGCAAGTCAAAAATGATGTTTATTTTGCAGCATGCCCCCCTGGTCAAAAATTGGTTAACCATCTGCTAATGTAGTTAGTCTGGCTACTTTGCCCAAATCACAAACAAATTCCACAGCTATGTTGCTGAAATCTCCAAAATTTGCTGGCAAAACTGGCAAAACTCGCAAAACTGTGTTAAACCCTCTAGTTGAATCCCAGGATCTTTCACCCTAACAGACCTCAACAAACATCCTGCGCACCCATGGTTCTCCCCCACAAAAATAACGGGATAAAGCGCACCGGATCGATCCGGAGCGGCGCCGGGCGCACAGAAGGCCTGCAGACGGAAAACCCAGTGCTTCACTGGTGAATATATGGTTAATATATGGTGAATATATGGTTAATATATGGTTAATATATGGTGAATATATGGTTAATATATGGTTAATATATGGTTAATATATGGTTAATATATGGTTAATATATGGTTAATATATGGTTAATGATGGTTATTATAGGGTTAATGATGGTTAATAACTATAACTGGTTGGTGGTTGAGCCCTACCCCTCTGAAAAATATGACTTCGTCAGTTGGGAGGATGAAATTCCCAACCGAATGGAAAAAAACAAAATTTTCCAAACCACCAACCAGCCATGGAAAATGAAGGTGTCCTAAAACGTTAAACGGGTCTACATCCAAAGACTCCAAAGACCCAGAAAATTCCAGAAAATCTAGGCATTCCAGGATGTAGCTAGAATTGTTGTTACCTAGAATTGTTGTTCCCTAATTTGGTCAAAATCAACAATGACAGCTTTGATATGTTTCAAGTGAATTAGGAGATCTTGATCCTATGACATATTCCATTAAATGCATCATTTGGATGACCAATCAATTCAGTTAGATTCCATCATAGAATTTCAGAAAAAGAAATATAAAAAAAACAGAAAGAATAAAAAAACACATGCTGGGATGTGATGTTCATGGCAGTTCTACTGCTGGCTTGAGCACAGATATATGAAACATATTAAACTTATGTTATCCAATGTTGCTACCAGCTCTGACATGCAGCTCAGAGGCCATCTCAAAAAATGCATTGGTAGATGTGAAACACTTTCAAAGCACTGTTTTTCCCGAATGCGTAGCAAGGGTTCCCGTTTCACTCTTGGGGTCTTGGGGGTTGAGGGTGCGTTCGCTCGACTTTGCCCAAACGTTCGCAACCGTCCGCAACCGTTCGCGTGAGGGCCGTATGGCCGTGCCTATGGTAAGTTCTTGCAGAAGGGGTCATTTTTGGAGGTTTCAAACGTCGCGTTGCTTGGTTTCGCGTGGCAGGCATGGCACTTCGTGACATTCAGACGCGTTTGGGAACGTGTCGAAAATCGTTTTGTGTGGCGGGCGCAATACTTTCGCGACGTTTTCGCAAGATAAGTTGCAGTTTTCGTGGCAGGCGCAGCACTTTGGGCGTGCCCAGCGTCATTCTGCATGGCAGGCGCAGCACTTCAGACGTGTCGTGTTGCGTGCTTTTGCGAATCGCATTGCCAGGGCTGCGTCAAGTGACAACAAGGTACAAATTCTGTGGCAGGCGTGGCATTTGTGAGATGTGATGAAAATTGACGGAAGCCTCGCACGAAACATCGATTTTGAGGTAGCAAATTTAGAGGTTCCTAAGAAAAATCATAGGAAAGCGCCGATTTTGAAGCTACAAAGTGTGAAAATTGGAGGAACGTGTTGATGCTCCCACGTGTCTCGTCTCGAGTGTCTGGTTTTCCTGTGGCCGCGCTGTGTCTATGGGGGAAGCTGCAAAACCTCTCCTTTTCGAAGGTTTCCAAGCAGGTTGTCATGTCGTTTTGCGTGGCAGGCGCGGCACTTTGTGACATTCCAACCTGTTTGGCCACGTGTCGAAGGTCGTTTTGTGTGGCAGGCGCAATACTTTGCGCCGTTTTCACAAGATAAGTTACAGTTTTCGAGGCAGGCGAAGCCTTTTGGAGATCTCTGTCGTCAATTTGCGTGGCAGGCGCATCACTTCAGACATGTCGCATTGAGTGCTCTACACTCCACACTCAACACTCTACACTTTACACTCCACACTTCCCACTCCACACTTTACATTCAACACTCCACACTTTAAACTCTACACTTTACACTTTACACTCTACACTTTACACTCTACACTCCACACTTTACACTCCACACTCCACACTCCACACTTTACACTTTACACTCCACACTTTGCACTCCACACTTTACAGTCTACACTCCACACTCCACATTTTACACTTTACACTCCACACTTTACAATACTTTACACTCCACACTCTACACTCCACACTCTACACACGACACTCCCCACTCCCCACTTTACACTTTACACTCCACGCTTTACACTCCACGCTTTACACTTGACACTTTACACACCACACTCTACACTCCACACTCTACACTCCACACTCTACACACGACACTCCCCACTCCCCACTTTACACTTTACACTGCGCGCTTTACCCTCCACTTTTTACACTCCACACTCCACACTCTACACTCCAAGCTCTACACTCCACACTCCACACTCTACACTCCACACACAACGCTCTACTACACTTTACCCGCTGCACACTCCACACTCCACACTCCACACTTTACACTCCACACTCCTTACTTTACACCCCACACTCCACGCTCCACACTCTACACTCCACACTCCACCACGCTCTACACTTTACACACTCCACACTCCACACTTTACACTTCACACTCCACACTTTACACTCCACACTCCTTACTTTACACTCCACACTCCACACTCCTCACTCCACACTTCACACTCCACACTCCACACTCCACACTCTACACTTTACAGTCCACACCCCACACTCTACACTTTACACTCTACACTTTACACTTTACACTCCACACTATACACTCCACACTTTACACTTTACACTCCTCACTCCACACTTTACACTCCACACTCCACACTCCACACTTTACCCTCCACAATCTACACTCCACACTCCACACTCTACACTTTACACTCCACACTTTACACTCCGCACTTTACATTCCACACTTTACACTCTACACTTTACACTCTACACTTTACACTCCACACTCTACACTCCTCCTCCAAACTCTACACTCCACACTCCACACTTTACACTTTACACTTGACACTCCACACTTTACACTCCATACTTTACACTCCAGACTCTACACTCCACGCTCCACACTTAGCACGCCACCTTCTTCCAAGTCCACTGTCTACGGTGCACTGCTGCAGTAACAGGGGAAAAATGCACAAGACTGTTCAAATAAACTGTTTCAGAAAAGTGTTCTGCGTGACTGCATATCCACGTGTTTCAACATCTGTACCATTAACATACGTGTGAGCATTCGGGTTCGTGGGCTGCATCTTGTTTTTCTGTTCCGTGATATTTTGTCTTTACGCGCGCTTTGCTGGTTCAGTTCCGGCCTTCTTCCATTTCCTTTCCTTAGGCATGATTGCAACTGCTGTGCTTTTCCAACTCTCTTCCTTAGGCATGATTGCAATTGCTTTGTTTTTCCAATTCCCTTTCTTGGGCGTGATTGAATTTGCTGTGTTTTTCCAGTTCCCTTTCCCTTTCCCAGTTCCCTTCCAGTTCCCTTCCCAGTTCCTTTCCCAGTTCCCTGCAACGCACTTTCCTTAAAAAAAACACAGGGAATCTGCGAATAGTTTGGACCCAGGAATACCCCCCCGGCAAAAAAAAGGCAATGTTTGAAGAGGATCACTTTTCACACATATGGTGGCTTCCTAAAGTATGGGTACCCCCAAATCATCCCTTTATAGATGGATTTTTCCTTATAAACCATCCATCTTTGGATATCCCCATTTATGGAAACCCCCATATACATTTACGCTCACTCCAATGAAGGAGGAGCCTGCGCCAGGAGCCGGTCTTCCAGCTCCAGAAACCATGTTTTATCGGGAAAAACACGTGTTTGGGACCATACAATGGGGATAACAGACGGAAGAAAAGGATGAACCAAGAAAATTGGAATGACTCACCAAGAAGATACCGAGCAATGTAAATGACAACCCTGTGTCAGGATTTTGTTTAGCTTGACCCATATATCCAGACAGCAAAATGAACCCAATGGGATTGGGGACATATTGCCCATCGTTCTTGCGGCTTAAAGGATCTGAAAAAATCACCGAGAACTGCCATTCACTGACTGGCATTCCATGGCTATGTCATGTCACCAACTTTATTTCCATTTTTTTAAAGTTTTGTTTCACACTCAAAAAGCACAGAAAGCACAGCCTAAAGGATCACCCCGATGGGGCTTCCGGGGTGACACAGTAAGCCCACGGCAAACATGACCATATGACCATATTCAATAGGAAGATGATCTTTCAAAGCACATCTTTGGGGTTCCATTGGGGGTCCATATGAAAATTGGGGGATACAATTCCAACTGACTGTCATATCTTTGGCTTTGTTTTGACTGACTTGGGTGTTTTCCACGCCGCCCCGATTGCCCGGATTGCTGGTAGCAACAGGAATACATTGCCAAACAACAGAGAGAAATAAGCCATGGACAATGGACAATGCGTTGCATTATATATCAAGGAGGACGCAACCAAGAATTGCAATGGACCTCAATGCAAAGACTGCCTGTGCAGAGGAATAAAGCTCACCATATTGTATTGGGATAGTTACCCCAATCCTAACCCTTATTCCAGTGAGGGAGAACAGTGAGGTCGTTATAATTTACCCAGATATATATATATATATACCCTCCAGTAAATTAACATAGACCCTGCCAGATAGGGGTTGGAAGATTAGTTTCCATTAAAAATTGGTTATTTTCAGGGTCTATGTTTATTTACCAGAGGGTATGTGTGTGCGTGTGTCTGTGGGTTGATCACCATTGATCATCACCAAATGAGTCTCTATGGACACCAGTCAAGTTGTACAGCAATCGACTGGGTCCAGTTTGGAATGGCTGAGTTGATCTATAAGAGTAGCTTAACTAAGATTTAGGCTAAATACATCTATCATCAACATATTTTTGGCTAGATACATCTACCATCTATATACATATATATATATATTAGTCAGTGATCATATGTTACTATATACTTAATGGGGTTTACAAACCAACTTATAAAACGTTGGAGGTTCACCACCTTGTATCTGATATCACCTGGATTGCCACAGTGCCACAGGGTAACCAATTGAGCTCAAGCCACTTTCGACATGGACAATCTTACGTACCCGGCAAAACAACATAGTAGGGCAAATACATACTTCCATTGCAGTCAATAGCAAACTTTCAAGTATTAAATTGATCAAATCATCCATGACCCAGTGAAGAAGAGCGATGTTTTTCAGACATGGGCAGGATCTTCACATATTTTCCCCATTCATTTTCATCCACAGGGGGTACATATCCCAGTTTTCAATTTGGGTGTCCAAAGAAAAAGTAACCCTGGCCTTGCTGGTTGATATCTTAAACTTAAATTCAGGGGGATGGGAGAATTCCCAAATATGCTTAAATCCCCTGAGAAACTATATATGGTTTCTGAGGGATGTTCAATGTTGGGGGGAAGGGATTATTCCCATGTTGAATCATTGTTCTGCTTCATATCCCCTTAATATCCTCATGATGATTGGGAAAATTGCCTTTCCTTTGCCGAATCCCCAGAAATCGTACAAATGTTTCATCGGAAAACCAAGGAATCCCTTCAAACACACCCAGGAATCCCATTTTTTTCGGGTGAATCGACCCACCAGGTTTCGGGAAAATCTGTGCTTCGGAAAGGCGGAAACCAAACCATGGTTTTTTTAGAGGTGTTAATAATCAAAAAATGGAGGTGTCCGTCGTCAATTTTCCCATCCAATTCTGTAAGTGGTGAATCCCCACCTTTCTTCGTAGATCGCCAGATCCAGCACTGCAGGTTTCACAGCAGTACCTGGTCCAAAATGCAGTGAGGTGTTTTTGTCTGTTAAAAAATTGGAAAAGACCCGGTATCAATGGATTGGTTTAGGGCTTAAGGTAACATGTACAGAAATCCCCATATTTAATGGGAAAATCGATGGTTTCCTGTAGATTTTTCCTTAAACCAATCCATTGATGGTAAACAACTGAAGTACTAGAAAGATATGGGCATGTTCCATTAAAAACACAAACAAATATGGAAAAGTGAGTTTTGGTTTTTCTTTCCTCTGGTAAACTAGGATAGTTCTGGAAAGTCACCGTGTTTCAATACCATGTTCCATAGCTATGTTAGTGTGATCGAGGGTAATCTATAAATCCAAATTCACTCGGGTTTATGGTAGATACATCCAACCAGCTAATAGGGGTTTGTAAACCAACAAACATGACTGGGAGAGCACCGTATTTTTGCGTGAAAAAAATGTCTATCTATCTATCTATCGATCTATCTATCTTTCTTTCTATCTTTTCTATCTTATCTATCTAATCTATCTAATCTATCAAATCTATCTAATCTAATCTATCTAATCTATCCAATCTATCAAATCTATCTAATCTATCTAATCTCTCTAATCTATCTAATCTATCAAATCTATCTAATCTATCATATCTATCTAATTTTTCTAATCTATCTTATCGTTCCAATCTATCTAATCTACCTAATATATCTGATATATCAAATCTATCAAATCCATCTAATCTATCAAATCTATCAAATCTATCTAATCTATCTAATCTATCTAATCTATCTAATCTATCTAATTTATCTAATCTATCTCTATCTATCTCTATCTATCTCTATCTATCTCTATCTATCTCTATCTATCTCTGTCTGTCTGTCCGTCCGTCCGTCTGTCTGTCTGTCTAATATATATATATATATATATGTATATATATATACATATATATATATATTATATATACATATATATATATGTGTGTCTAACATCATGTATAAATACTAGCACATGTATAGATGCCTGTATTTGCCTGTATATTATCCACGCATCATGTAAATACATACAGCATGAGCGATACGAGCCTGTAGGGCTCCTCGTACAGTTTAGTGAAGCTTGACACGCGTGAGTCTCCCAAATTATGTCATCAGTGGGGAAACTGACGATGAACCAGGGCCTGGGGATATAGTCATCATTCCCAGCATCGGGGAGTTTCCATCGACTCATTGACGCATGGTGAACAACCTACCATCAGCTACGGCCGTGGTCCGAACTTCGGAGCTCGGTGAGATCCAAAGGATGGGGGGGTCCATAGGGGTCGGGATAGCCCGAAATATCGCGAAATATGGTGTAGTTCATGGAAAATCCCAGCTATAAATGGATGATATCTGGGGGTACCCCATGACTTAGGAAACCTCCAAATATCACCATTTATACATCCAAATACCATCGATTTTTATCATCTGAAAATATCCTGAATGCGTCTCAAGCTCATGGCTAGTCGCGGATCATCATCAAACCATCCATGGGGGACTCAATAATCGTCTTGATCCATCCGCAACAATGGGATGCATCATGATGCATCATTGAAAATGGATGATTTACCCTCTGGTAAACGTTTACATAACTATGGAAAATCACCATTTTTAATCGGTAATTCCACGATTTCTATGGCCATTTTCAATAGCTTTTTGTATGTTTACCTGAGGGTACTGTGCTTTTCAGCACCTTAAAACCTCGCTCAATTTTTCGCGCCTGACACGAAAGATCCAAAAGGTCTCAAAGCAAAGCCTGGCGGCTGGCGGAGGTTGGGCATGGGACCGGGAACACCGGAAGGGGGTGCAGTTGGAGGTCCATGATTTTTTGAGGATGGTGGCTCACTACTACCACGAATCGTAAGTGGTGATTCATTCACCCTGGTGACTAGTGATAGGTGGATAGAAACCCGACTTCTCCCACTTTTACTGGGGTCATCTGGGGTCATATTAATGATCCACTGCCGATTCCTGGGATGAGCCACCAAGTAACCATGGGATAACATTCACTTAGAACTGGAACTGAAAAAAATCTAGGCCTTCGAATGCCCAGTTGCCTCTGAGATAATTCTAGGTATATAACCAGGACGAAATTCTCAGAGGCAACTGGAAGATGAATTTGTTTTAGGATGTTTTAGCTACAATTAGGTATAATCAGGTACACAGATTCTGTTTTTGGTTTGAGGATGTTCACCTATTTGACAGAATCTGAGAGGCTGAATTTTATGGACAAAATTCGGTATTTCAGGTGACCATTTGCAAACTGGAAAATCACACGCTGAATCATTGGCTATTGGATTGGGTGAACGATGGTAAACACCGAGGCGTTTTGTGATGTTTTGTGGTGTTGAGACCATTGGATCCATTGGTGACGCCTCAAGGGACTAGCACTGAGGGGATTGAATTTGGGAAAACCATCGAGAAACCGGTTTCGGAATGGGAAGATCAGCAACCACATGTCATGAATATCATGGGATATCATGGGATACAACGATTTTGATCTTAGGGGATAGGATAGGATTTCTAAAAAAACTCATCCCACAAAGATCAACGTGTAATTTGAATCTGACCAAATCAACGAACACTATGATTTTGAGTGTGTCTGAAAATTGGATACCTACCCCAAGTCCATTTAAGGGGATATCATATTTTCTACAGTCACTCCAGCAAGCACATCTTTAGGAAAGTAACCCCCTGAACTGGCCCTGAACCACACAATTTCTTGCATCCAGCAAGCACATGCGTACCTACTCCAGACATCTCCAAACTAGGAAAGCCACCACCAGAATCACAGAGGCGAGCAGGTGATGAACCGAACCGCCCCCTCAATGAACCCAACGAAACTAAACGAACCGAAGTTTTTCTGGTAAAAACATGTGTGCAACCTCGGGCCTGTGGCACTGCAATACTAAATCAAGAAAATGATAAGAGTTCGCGGGAGCCTCACCTTATCCCTAAAATTCTCGACAGCACTGGGGTTGTAGTCGATGTGCATCTGTGGAAAGTTCACTTAGGGTGCCAAGGTCGACCCCCCTCATGAGCCCAGAAATCACCGGGGAAAAAAAACGCCTCCGGGCAGTTGCCGCACAACGAAGTCGAGTGTTTGAAGCAGCACGTAGCAATCCTCGGTGCTGGTACGATACAAACATATGTACACATTTAAATTATACATTAGAAAAGATGCAAAATGAATCTATATATATAATATGTATATATATGCATGCATGAATGCATGTGTGGTAAAACCCGAAAACACCCAAATTTTGGAATCCATTTTGTCGTGGATTTTCAGAAACGACCAGCATGGTTTCCGGTCCGCCGGAATGATTATGTATGTAGGATTGTGTGTGCATGATACTGTATATATTGTGTATGTATGATGGTGTATGAATGTATGTATGTATCATTGTGTATGTATGTGTATATATATATGTATGTATGTCCTGTAATGTAATGTGATGTGATGTAATTTAATGTAATGTAATGCAATGCAATGTAATGTGATGTAATGTACTGTAACGGTATGTGTGTGTGTATGTGTGTGTATGTGTGTGTGAACCATCTGAAGAGATGTAAAACTTCTATATAATTTTATCTGTTTCTGCAGGGGACAGTGGCCCACTCATGAGTCCACTGCCAACGAAGCTACTCATGAGTTGGGAGGATATCGGGACTGATCATCCCGACGTACCTGCAAGATTTTACTTTCTGGTCATGGGACGTGGCTAACCCAAGAACAACCTCGCAACCAATTTCAACTTTTTTTCAACCATTTTGAGGTCACTTCAATGCCTGTACGGTTTTCGCAATCTGTCAAGTTGGGAGCAATATGGTTTTGTTGAAAGGGAAGGGTCAGCTTCTACTTCACTCTAATTTGCACTGGCTATGGCGATGGTAGTTTTCACTGTTTTTCAGGTCCTTTCAGTGACCTACTCCTGTCAGGTTAAAGGGATTGTTCTTGCACGTAAGATGCACTCCACAACAAAATGTGTAATGACGGTTCTGAGCAAGTATGTATATGTGTAGGTATATGTGTATGTGTATATGTGTATGTGTATATGTGTATATGTATATGTGTGTGTGGATGTATATGTGTATGTGCGTGTAATGTAATGTAATGCAATGCAATGCAATGCAATGCAGTGCAGTGCAGTGCAATGCAATGCAATGCAATGTAATGTAATGTAATGTAATGTAAGTATGTACGTATGCATGCATGCATGTATGTATGGTACGAGCAGTGTAATGTAATGTAATGCAATCCAATGTCAAGGTAATGTAATGTAATGTAATTTAATGCAATGTAACTGTATGTGTATGTATAGGTATATGTGTATTATATGTATGTGTATATGTGTGTATGTATGTAATGTAATGCAATGTAAGGTAAGGTGATGTAATGTAATGAAATATATATATATATATACTGGCTGATCTTTTCAGTGGATTTGAAAAATATTAAGGAATTGGGCCAAAAATGGTGGCTTTGCAAGTTATAATGGTTTCACAACTAACTGCACGCATTTTTTCCATGCTTCTCTGCTGGTTTCAAAGCATCGCTGCAGCCTGCAGTCAAGTCTAACCGTCACGCACTGTGGGACAAGCATGCATGGCAAATCATCAATTTCCTCATGAGCCCGGCTGAAGTAGAACTGTATCCCACCAATTTTTGTTCAAAATGGTCTAAGATTTCTGGTTCAGGCACGGCTTCTCAAATGCCCATCGCTCGTATAGATGAGCGTATCATTTGGCTAGTCTTAGACTGCCAAGATGAAGGGAAGAATGCAAGCTTTACATCTTTGGATTTGGGGCCTGCTTGCTTTGAACGCACTATTATAAACATATTATTGAAATAATGATGTTTGATTGAAAAGCTGTGTTCCGAACATACTTTCTAACCTGAAATGCCAATGATGTACCGATGTCCGAATTGTACGGGGGAGATGTCAAGCACAGGGATTCAAAAATGGTGACTGCGTCCGCCTCCAAAAATTTGTTGACTTGTTGGGAAAAGCTAAGAAAGCTTATGCTGCTATATCATGCAATATGATAAAAATGATATTTGTGGGAATCAGCTTCTTGTTAAAGACAGAGATAGGTTTTTGCTATTCCAGACTGTCCAAATCCAAAGCAGCTAGGCGGCGATAAATGTCACAGTCACATGGAGCTTAATGCCCGGAAAGACAAGGAAATCACAAGACTCTATTGGGCAGCGCTTAGTATATTTTCGCATTGGCTCGGGGATTCCCACAGGACAAACAGCATCACCTGCCCAAAGCTAACACGTATCTACATGCTTGGAGCCGCTTGCAGCCACTCCAGCTGCTTCAGCCGTTTAGCCGCAGGAGCTGCGCAGGAGCTGCGCAGGAGCAGCTGCAAGAGTCCTTGAGCAGCAGTCAGATTGATTCAGACAACCCTTCCATGCAGGCAAACGACGCTTGGATCCCACATCCCTTCCCCAGATCGCTTGGAAGCGTCCAGGCATTCCACCTAAGGGTTCCTTTGCTCTTTCTTATTCCTCCGTGCGCAGCGAAGCTGTCTAAACTACAGTAACTACACCAATCCACGGGAAAGACGTGCCCTGCAAGCCGGCTGAAGCAGCAAAAGTGCCTGAGCAGGGGAAACCCCACGACCCTTTTGTTTGTCATCTTTGCCCCAAGCGTTCCATGTCACGGCTCATTACTATTTTATTTTAATACTGCACCAACCTGGAAGTGAGATTGCAAAAGGCGGCGGCTGAAATAGCAAAAGTGCCTGATCGGACCGAGGCAACCCTTCAATCTCTTGAGAATACCATTCCGTGTCCAGTTTTCTGCCCAAGTCGTTTGGAAGGGTCAATGCGTTTGATTTAAGGGTCAATGCGTTTGATTTAAGGGTGTCGTTTCTCTCTTTTATATGATGAAGGGTCCAAACCTTAGTAACCCACCGGGAAGATTGGCCTCAAAGCCCGAACAAGATTGCACTGCAAATTGGGCCTGGGAGCTCCCAAAGTGAAAGTTACAATGCAGCAGCTTCAACGAACCTGAGATTAAGTTTGTTGAAGGCAAAGATGCGTAGAGGTAAAGCCTGAAGGCCATATGACACACTTGTGATGTTTTGGCGCACGGTTGGGAAGCTCAATGCACACCTAGCAAATTGGCTCAAAACAAAATCGACTTCACTGCATGTTGGTGAAAGCCGCTGAGCCGCACATCCAAACAGCCAACCCTATCCTCACTCACCGGTCACCTTGTCCCCTCCTCAACAGGCAAGTCATTACAATCCACTTAAGACCTCCTTTGCAGGCTCAATGTGCTCATCTTCATCTTTCATGAGCACAAACAACAAAAGGGATCCCATGAGATACCAATTAAGTTGCGAGCCCGTTTTCAAAAACTACCTGAGAGGCTCTCATCACCAGTAGTTGATGCGCTCATGTAGGGCACACATGGGCGTTAATTTTCTTGCTGCCATATATTAATAAAATGCTCTATGTTCATTAATGCAAATACATGTTATTATATTTCAAATATATAATTATATTAGTACATGAAAACGTATGTGTATATATACATATAATATAAATGTATACACATACTATATATTGTATGCATAAATGAGGTTGTACACATGCAAATTGATATCTAAGTAGAAATTTTGTATATAATAGAGATCTCTCAAAGATAGGTAGGTAGGTAGGTGGGTAGTTGATATGATAAGATATCAGAGATATCATAGTATCATAGGTAGTAAGATAGATAGGCCGATCGAAAGATGGGTAGATCGATCGATAGATAGATCC